GGGTTCAAGTTCGTATTATGTCATTTAGTTTTTGTATTTTTACATTTCTACTCATTCTCTCCAATCAACCAAATTTTTTTTTACATTTCTAAAAAAATAATTTATGGCTCCTGTTTATGTTTCGTATAGGGCCCTCAAAATCTCAGGACCGGCACTGGTGGCTTCCCCCTCCCCCCGGCACCTCATTCGAAGTCCAATGTGAAAAAAAAATGCAATTCATTATTTTTTTTTTTAAAACAAATTCAGTGGTAAGCGAATAAATACTATAGGTACTCTTACAAATTAGTTTGTTCAACATTTTAGTTTATTCAATTTGCCAAATCATCGGTATGAAAGAAAATTCTGATTTTGAGTAGATAAAGATTGGTGCATCATAAATGTACAGTTAAAAAAATAATAATAATAAATTGAACCCTCTCTTGTTGTCGAAAGCCAGAGAAATAATCTGAATGTACTTTCTTTTTCCCTTTCACCCCACCCTCCCACACTCTAGATTTTTTGAAGTCACACAGAGATGCAATAAAAGTTATATTATATTCCTCTCCAAAGCTATGATCACAAAGCGGAATCACATTATCATGTCTCCCTCCTTTTCTTCTCAATAATTTTGATAATGTTGCTCAAGTTTTCTGATATAAGGATAAAAAATTTGAAGTACCTAGGCCATGCTACACATGTTAACTCAAGAACATGCAGCTTGTGGTGCCTAAGGCCCTATAATTCTTTCCAAAAAGATGAGGGCCCGTTTGGTAGATATGTGCCAGCAATTATGTATTTGGTTGCATATCAATCAATTACATATGCATAATGCATGTATTCAAAGATAGTTTTGCCAAATTTAATCGATATGCAAAAACAATAATAATAATACTAATGCATACGGAACTTATGACCAGTAGTTTGAATATTTATTCCATTTCAGACTTTGAATATTTGCGTTTATGTGTTTAAGAGCATTGCATATCAATTTTACTATGTCCATCTTGATTGATAATTGTTAAGCACATCGTTCAATTCCATTAGAACTATAAAAAAAAGTTCCGGCACAGGAAGAGAAAAAAAATATGGGGTTAGAACATGGGTGGGCACAACACACAAGTCACCAGAAAAGTTGGCTCTGAGCAGTCAAACAATATGGGTAGAATATTTTGCAGGTTGTATTTTATTCTCCAAAATGAGGTATTTATAATACAAGGATGTAACCCTAGTAGGGTCGAACTAGGAAACAAGATAAAATCCTAATTACACAATATTTGTACAAAAGGAAAGAAATATAGTCCTAATAAACTAGGAAATAAATATCCTAATTAAGCTAGGATCTCGCTAACATGCACTACCTGGGAGATTGACATCCACTGAACTTCAAGCACTCAGAATGAGTTTAGGTGGATAGGTGGGGGCGTAGACAGGTGGGTGGATAGGTGTTGCTGACATTTGTGTAGAGGTTTTTTTATCTTTATGCATTATTTTTATACATGTGTCAAATTATAATTTGCATAAAGTAGGAGGGAAGCAATGTCTGTTTTAAAATCTTATTTCTATTACTTGCATATTATTCAATAGTAAAAGTTGTTCAAATCACATCAAATGTGAGAGGACATGTTCTTTAGCACAATTTTGTTCACAACCTCACCAATCCTTTTAAAGTCTGGCATATGTTAATTAAAGTAACCGTCGTTAACAATTTGCAATTAATAGTTTTTCATGCCACAATTATGAGAGAAATTTATGTATTTATTAAATTATTTCAAATATCCTATATTCCTTCTTCGCAGATGTCTTTATCAAGTCTTTAGGTAAAGATCAATTCCAACCACTGAAAAACAAGCTGGGTATTCTTGATCTCCATACTCCAACTTGAGGGGGAATATTGAAGATATGGAAAGATTCAATAAAGTTTATTTTCTTACCTTATTTAGACAGTCAACACCTTACTTTAGGGACCATATCTGTAATTTAGGAATTTATTTTCTTACCTTATATAGCACTCTTTTCCCTTGTAAAAGATACCATCTACTTTTCTTTCCCTTTAGCTCCCTCTTTAGGTTTGAAGTGACAATGCAATAAAAGTTAATATTCCTCACCAAAGCTGGCATCACAGAGTGGAACACAACGTTTCTTGGTCGTCTGATGACTTTGGGGGGTTACCCGTGAGAGGACATATGTACGTGTGGGGTATGGGGCTGGATAAGTGGGTGGTTATACATGAAATTGAGTACAAAGTTATGAAAAAATGCCTATTATATATATATATATATATATATATATATATATATATATATATATAAATTATTG